CACCGACCCCCCGCTGGCCCCCTTTAAAGCTCTGTCGTTATCCACTCGTCAGGCCCCCATTCTTCGCACGTTGGCAAAAAGCAGGAAGGTAAGACGAAACCTCTGGAGGAGGGCTACATGCTATTCTGAGGCCGAGGCAAGGTCACCGCGTTCTCCTCTTTGGTCGCCCCGCGGCCGTGGGAGCAGAGGAGATCCTCGGGGTGGTGTAACGCGACCTCGCCCCTCCCCGCGCCCCTCCCCCCGTGCAGCCTCCCTCTCACCGGCGGGGGGAGGGGAGGCGGTGAGGGTGGAGCAGCTGAGAGGCCGCGGTCTGGGGGGTGGGGTAGGCGCTGGAGACCACGCCGCCCCGCGGGTCGATGACCTCACCGCGTGGCTGACCTTTACAAAACGCCGCCGTGATGTGCATAAATTAACCGAAAAATTGGAAAGCACTTTTCACTCTCCCGCTCGTCCTCACAACGCGCGGATCGAATAAGGCAAATGAAGGCGGCGTTTGCGGTGAAGTGCGCGCGCGGCGTGGGGCCTGGGGAGGGTGCGTGCGGGCGCGGGCCTGCGAGCCACACCCCCGCGCGGGCTGGACACCCCGGCCGGGGGGCGCAGGGCGCGGGGCTCGCACCCTCTCGGCGCCGTTGGCCCGCTCCGCCCGCTCTCTGACCGACTGCAGTCACGCAGGGTGGGCCAGGGCCTATGGCCAGGCCCGCGTCGCACCCCTCACCCGGCACGCGCGCCACCACGTGCTCCCGTGCCCTCCGCCTGGCCCGCTCTCACTCACCCTGGCGACGAGCACTAAGAGGAAACGCGCGAACGCTAGCCGCGCGGCACAGCAGGGGCGCAACTCGGCGCGGAGCACAAGCCGGCTAGCACGGCGGCGACGGCCCGGTCCGGCGTCGTCCTGGGCGATAGCGGTGCGTCGCGGTGCGTCGCGTTGGGCCGGACCGCGAACAACCACCGACTGAGCGGGCGAGTCGGAGTGCGAAGCGCGGGCTAGCCTGCCCGCCCAGCCCCGCCCCGCCCCGCCC